TTGAATTTCTCTGCTACTGCACCTTTTTTTCTTCTTCAGTCCTCTAAGAAAATTCCATTTTAGCAATTATCTAACACAATGTTTGTCAGTCTTCAAATCTTGCAAGAACTACTTAGAATTTATTCCAGATACACTAGTGCCATTTTTCTTTATGTTAAAGCTTAGATTCTGTAATATCATTAACATCTTAGAGGGGATATTTGGAGATGACATACCCTGTAACATGCAATTCCAATCAGAAACAGAAGTTTGTTTATCTCCTCAGCAGATGCAGGATGGGTTTGATGTGTGGGTTTGACAGACCAAAAAGAAGTTCTTTGGCCAAAATGATCGGCATACCAGCATGAAATGTCTGCCCAGAGGACTGCTGCCAAAAGCATTACATAATTTATTTGCAAGACTAACAGTAAATATTTTACCAAGAATTGCTTCAAGTTCCTAAAACTGGGTTACAGTTATTGTTATTAGTGAGGCTGGGTGCAGACAGGCACGAGAAATGCTTTTTACCTACGTCATCTTGCAGTCACAGCAAGGATGACAACACGCCATCACAAGGCCTGTACTGCTGTGGGATGGAATCTGTAACAGCAACATTGTGCACTATTTTCATCTGTCTTTTATCACTGAATTATTTATTCTTCTTGTCAGTAAGTTATGGGTTTCCTGATATTTACAAGTCTATTTACAGCCGAAGGTGGGAGTCATCAGCCCTTCTTTCTTTAGACTGCACACACTGGCAACTCATTTTGCTGCTGAACTATGTTTCTAACAAAAGCCATACAGACACACAAAAAAGGCAGAATATAAAGCTAGGCAGCCAGACCTGAAAGCCATTGCCAATATACCATCTACCTGTTCACCAAAACCACAATAGATCGATGGATGACTGCTCATGCCAGGCACTGTGGAACAGGGAAATAACATCAAACTCTAAATTTAAGCTTCATCTTGGCTGAGAAGTTTGCCCACACTTTGCACATGGGACAGTCTGATCCCCAGCAACCTCTGAGTAACCAAAGAGGCTGATCTTCCACATCTCCTCACAAAACTTAGCATCCTTTTCTTCTGGTGATCTAGTGATCTCAGCCCATTACTCCTGAACAGTGGTGATAGATCAACAGACTTAAAAGTTCCTGGTAAGAAAATCAAAAAGTGCATTACATTTTGAAAGCTAATACGATTCTCCTACATTTTCTGTGTTACAGATGAGTTGGAAATAAACACTTGTACCATTTTGTATATTGTGTCTATATTTTTTTTAAATAAAGTTACCAGACTAGAGGTTTGGGAGGTAGATCTAGCTGGCAGAAATGTTTTGAATGTCCTCTGTCTTACTTTCAAGTACACAGAGAATAGAGTATGAACTTAACAACTACTGAATATCTCTTGGTGTGTCTGGACAGTCAGATATTCTTATCAATGAGAGCCACCTTCACATTATATGGAAGGGAGGGGAAGAGAGAGGAAACAAAGGTCATAGCGAAATTCAAATTACAGTGCATTATTGCCCGTGGGAAGTATGTCCGATATGGTGTCTTCTCCTGCCCACTGATATGGTTGTTTCCTTGTTGTTTTTGGTATTTGACAAAGCATTCATTGTAATTAACTTAAAAACTGTATTTTGACATCTGTATGAAAAAAATTCTAAAATGAGTAGTTTCTAAATGTCCTCAGACAATGTGCAGTCTTTCACAGAATCCTGCAAATAATGCCTACAGACTCAGTTGGGAAGGACAGACAGTTCATTTAAATCTGTCCTGAGGTTCCATCTTGTGTTCTGAGTTGTCATTATGGGACAGGAATATAAGGAGGGGAAAAGGGAAAAGAGGCTTTACAAATACATCTTCTGCTATTTAAAGCAAGACATACCTGCATGCAATACAGACTGTCATAACCCATAATTCTCTTATTTCTAAAATAAGCCTCCCCGTCTTAACAAGGTACAGGTGGCACTTACCATAGTGAGTGTCCTGCTGTTCTCTTTCTTCAAGTTGCTTTTTTGCTCCATTTCAAAGTGTGCTTGAGACTCCTCTTAGCTTGTTCAGACACGCAGACTTACTGTGGGTTTCATTCCAGCCTGCTTCTGAGACTCTGTCATAATCTCTTCCACAGGTGTCCCCATCCCCCCAGTTTCAGCCTAAAAATCAGACTGCTGTCATGAAGGACAGACAGAGCTTTCTGTCTGGAGAAGTTCATTAGAGAAGTCCACTAGAGAAGGACCTATACCAATTGTACTGTTGGACCTGCAACACCATCCCTGACTTTTAGTACAAATTTTTAGATAATTCTGCACTGAACTACAGCATCTGAATGGTCCTGGGGATTGGTAATTGTGGCGCTCCTTTTACTAAACCATAATCCTATGTTGCAGCACTGTGCATGTCGATACTGTGCTTGTTTTCTCTGCTGTTGGCAGAGCTTATTTTGCAAAATTCTAAATCCGATCTCTTGGACAGCAAAGGACTAAGGCTCCCTGTACGGGCAGAAAGACTCTGGCAAATGGGAAGTAGATACAAAGTATGGAAGACAAAGGCAGTGGTAACTGGGGTGGTGGTGGCAGGCTGCCCAAACTCTGTCTTTGCTCCGTGCGAGGGGTGAGCAGGGGAACAAGGGGAATTTACTCTGAGCTCTGCCCTAAAGCACGCTGAAGGCAGCCTGAGCTCAGACCATCCACCCTGTCTGTTCATGGCCCTCCACCCCAACAGGTTCTTTTTGAAGCACTGGAGAGAATAAGGCTTGGCCAACACGCACAGTGAGACAGACAGTCAGACAAAAGCATGTACCACTCTAAAAAATTCCACAATGAGTCCCAAATAAGCCATAAAAAGCAATGGGAAACTCTGCCCTTAACATGAACAGAAATCTTGGTGCTCTGCATTAAGCCACTAACTACAATTGTTTCTCATCTCATGCTTTAGAGTTTCAGTCATTCCCTGCAGAGGGAAGCAATGATAATTTCCTGGCTGAGCACAGACATTGTTGGCAAGTTTTTCTTAATTTTTTTCCCTTAAATGACACAGCTGATGAGATGAGTAAGTACTTTGGAGCAGTACTACTTATCTTCTTTGTTAGGTGTGCACATGGTATGACTCATATGACTGGGCTATACTAATAAGCAAGATCTGAGACTTGGAGAAAACATTTTGAAATACACATCTAACCAAATATTTTGAGTACACTATTTCATTGTATTGTATTATTTTTATTTTTTGCCCAGTAAGCAGGCATTTCTATGAAGCTAAATGGCCAATAAAGTGTAGAAATACAAATTGTGCATTTAATGGTCCATTTGTTCTTTAAATCTTTGAAACAAGAAGCATGGAGCTCTGAAAGTGCTCTCTTTGAAATCAATAGGCTACTTGAGGCATTAAGTGCCACTCACCACGGGTAAGTATGACCACATGTCTTGTCATATGTTTCAAAAGGAAATATTTTAGTTGCAGATTTTAAACAGATTAGGTATCCTGGAGGTACCTCCAATTAGTAGAAAACATATCTGATGACTAAACTTAATAGCTGTTTAATTGAGTAAATTATGTGACTATAAATTTTCTATCTTGTAACAAATTACCACTACTAGTTCTAGCTGCATTATAATACCCTCCTCATAAAGTTGATACATTTGTCATTTAGTTGCCTGGGACATCAACTTGCAAAGAAATTACAGGTTAATTCAGATGTTATAAAGCAATGTCATATCAAGATATTTCCAACTAATTATTGTTTTTACATCAGAAGCAATATCTCCTGTGACAATTCACTCTTGTAGCAAAAAAGGAACTGAATTGTTTCAAAAAAAGTTGAAGTACATTTGACAACAAGAATACCTACCTACATAATGACATGACGGGTGCAGCTAGTAAAGTATAATTACTTGAAAGTGTAAAAGTATACTTGATGGGGTTCACATTTAGGTGTGAAAAATCCTTTTAAATATACTTCACTGGATATAAAGATACTTATAAAGTATTTTTTATCCACTGAAGTATCACTCACTACAGCAGTTCTGAGGCTGAACATAATTCTGACAGGCATTTACATCAGCAAAGCATTCAGTTAAAAAGATGGCTGAACAGAAAAGCAAGTTTAAGGTCCTCTGGCCTTGGGAGTGTAGAACTCTGTATGTATACATCACTTTCTTGCTCAATGAGAAACACACTAATTTAGTTAAAATTTGTGTCTTTACTTGTTAAAGTTTCATTTGCCTTTCCACAACCTTACAAGTACTTTCAGCAGTGCATAAGACAATTTCCTGAATAAATGGTCGAAAACCCCTGTTATCCTTTAGGTTAAATGTGAGAAAGATGCCATTCCATATTTAATAACCATGCAATGGCTGTCCAATTAGTGGATGAGTGTGTGAGGTGTATATATATAAAAAAGGGATAATTTTTGTTGCCTCGTCTTATTCACACAAATTGATATAAGACGTGAATGTAGCCTTTTCCTATTATTCCACATCACAAGGATAAACATAAGTTTCCAAACTTATAAATTCTGAGAGTTGCTTAGAAAATAACTGGTGGAAAACAGATAGCTTCAGCCTTACTTCTGGCATGTAATTCCCTTCTATAGTTTACCTTGATGGTGGATGACAACCATAAACAGGTTACCATCACAAATATTTTTTTAATTTCTTTCTGATTTTTCTCAAAACATTCTAAAAGCTGTAAGTATGAGATACCTTTCACAACTTATCATCAGTAAAGGAAAAAAAAAAGGGGACAAATAAGTTCAGAATAACATCAAATAAGAAAATTATGTAATTGCTTGTTAAAAACAACCACTTAATTTCCACCAATTTTAAAAGCATAGCTGCTTACATTTTTACATCATCTGAATCTCTGTATATGGATTTGGACTGTGACTATTACTTTTTACTTCAAAAGTACTCAGAGATTTGTAAAATTTAATGTGGAAAACAAACCAGGAAATTTACATGAAAAACTAAGATAAAAAAGTGTACTTTGGAGAAATAATGTAAAAACACAAATGCTTACCTTTGTGTTTGGGTGGCATAACTGTTATCATATGCCTCATAGCTTGGATCATCATATTCACCCCCATATCCATCATCGTATCCCTAAGGGGAAAACAAAACACCACAGCTTAGAAGAGTGATAAATCAAAGCATATTATCAAGTTGTAAAAATAAATTGCATCAACATGGGCATGTCATGTTTGCCCACGATAATGTGAAACATGGAGCTGACTGAAGAGAATTGTGAATTGTGAAGAGCAACATGTACATTGCAAGAATAAAGTAATCAGTCACTCATTTAAGAACTCAGCTTATTCACTGATAAACTGTGGTGCATTGTCCAAACCACAGTGCCTCAGTTGGATCTGTGTGGAATACTGATGAATGAATAATAAACCCAGCAATTTCTGAGCAGTTTGTTACATAAATGGTTCTATAAATATCTACAGGTGAAATAAACAAATGGCAGGTCAAAGATACTGACTATTCTACACTATTAAGAATGGTGATAAAATCTTAATATTCAGTATATTGAAAAAATGCAAAACAACAAAACAAAACACAGCAATCTATGAGAAACAGTATCTTTCAAGCAAGTAATGGCATATTACTTTTAAAAATAATGCAGAGTAAGCCCCTTTACTTTCACTGAGCATCTTACTCTTTTACGCTTTTCTGTGACAAATTAAGCAACAATTTAGTACAGGTTCCTGCCATCTAACTTAAGGTTCTCACTGAAGAGCTCAGACGGATGAGCAGGCCACCTAAGACAGAGAGACACAAGTGACTTCAGAAAGTGGTTCAGCTCATCTAATGCCTGAATTTTCCACCGAGAGAGTCACTGGCAATTGTGATCCATTGTAGCTGTCTCTGAAACAAAGAATGCTCAGGAACCACAGAATAAATAAAGAAATAAATATATATATAATCCAAGGGATGACTTTTGATATGCTCTTTTCATAGGACAACAGAGTAAGCAAGAAATGCTGTATGGAATCTAATTTCTTTTATTTCTTTGTGATTTTGGGAGCCAGTATTTGTAGTTAAATTGCAATGAAATATTTCATTGTCTAAAGAAAACCTTGCTGTTAAGGGAAATGCTAAAGGAAATAGTGGACTTAAAGAACTTTTACTTGATGTTAATTACAGCAAAAGGCAATTTTTTCCTCCCACAAACTATGCAAAACTTAGTCAGCTTGGGGGAGAAGGGACAGCATGAGGCAGTTCCAAAATAACAGCAGTCCAATAAGCAATCACTCTAGTACACTATCATAATCACCTAAAGTACAGTTAGTTTGGTACTTCATTATTTCTGCTAATTAAACTGCCCAGCGGTATTAAATAAGACTTCACTGGCATTCCTAAATTCAAGAAAACATTCTATGGAGGAAGCATTCAGTTGTTTCCGTAGGTCAAGCATATTAAATCTGCCTGTTCCTGTGGGCTGCCCAGCAGTGAGGGTAAGTGTGGATTCCAGGTGGGAGGTTTCATCCCTGTGGTGCTCTAAGTCCTGAAGGAAGGACAGGACTCTGCATGGTGATTTCACTGTGTCAGCTGTAGTAAAGTAAAGACTTTTAGGGCAGAAGGGAGTGTCCATTTTCAAACTGGAAATGGCCTCTCCCAGAATCTGAAGTCAACGCAAACCCCGTCATCTTCCATTTTAGGTGGCAGTGCACCATTTTGACTTGTCTGCATTAGTAAGAACTCATAGCAAAAAGTACAGCTAAAAACATATCCCTGTAGATGACAGTGATATATTTAACATTATACAGCTAAATAGACAATCTTGCTTCAGGGGACAGGATAAGAGAAACAATGCACCCCAGGAGACAGATGTTAGTCACATTGATTAGCATGCTACTGGGTGGGATCCTGCTACTGCGAAGATGAGGGTGATGGGAGTTCCTATATAAAGTCAAATAGCTAGAGGAAACACATTTCAACCTGCTTACCCAACCATCTGAAAGAACAGGAAAGGCAACAATTACAAATTAGCTCTCTCAGTTTCTTGATGCCTGAGGTGGATCAACATTCAGCATCAGCAGGGCAGAGAACACTTGTTAATATTTGACACCTCTGTGGGTTCACGTTACAGACTTTAACAGTCTCCCTCAAGGCTCAGAGCAGGTCAATACAGTGCAAATGGTTCAAGTGGAATGGTTGGAAAACAAAGTAAAAAGAGCACAATGTACTTTTAATGAACAGAAAGTATTTTCTGGATAATATTCTTTTATTTGTGCCAATCTGTATGAAAATTATCTTCTACTTTATTGAAAGTTTAATGCAATGTACCCAGACACCCACTACACCTTTAGGTATTGAGAACAAAGACTCAAAATAGTTCCTTTCACGTCCTTGAAGTGTATTAAAGCCACTGAGTAGTTTTCTCCTCTTTAACCTTCAGATCCTCAGAACCGAAAACTTTAATGTTTGAAAATATTTTTTGGTCAGGCGCTTTGAGAGATGAAGCACCCAGTTCCCACCTACAGCCAGCTGAGATCAGAAGTTGTGAGTCTGAGGGTGTCCAAATTCATAAATTCTCCTCTATGTGTGATGAGGATGGTGCTCCAAAAGCAGTTTTGTATAAATCCAGAGACCAGAACCCAGGATGCCCTCCCCAAATACAGTGTAAATTTTTACTCAGCACTAGAGTCAGCATTAATGCACTTTTTAGGTCTATTAGTGCTTCTAAAAAAACCAACCAACCAACCAACCAACCAACCTTTTCCTGTATAGAAGTCTTTTTTGTCCCATAATAACTGCCACCACCACTCAGAAGAAAAAGCCTCCTACAATGAACTGAGAAATATGCAATGGGCAACTATTAGAAATATTTAAAGTGATAGCCATTTCTAGGCTAGGTTTTTATGCCAGGCTACATTTATCTCAGGTATTTCTTAATAAAACAACTTTCCAAAACATAAAAAAACCTCAACAAAACCTCTTCACTCTGTGTCAAGGGAAAGGACAGTGAGTCTTCCAGTGACTATGATTTGCTCTGGCCCTACAACAATACATCTTAGATATGATATAAAAGAACAGAAATGCACATTTGAAGCTGCAGTGACACTAAGAATGCTTATCACCAATTTCAAGGAGTTTTGGTACTGTTTAGAGTTAAAAAATAATAAAAAAGAGATGATAAGTAAAAATGTAAAAATAATTTTTCAATTAAAAAAATTAAATGTTTTGAAAATGAACTTTTCTAAGTATTTACCTCCCCACAAATGGGAAGACTGGAAAAACTCTTAGGAGAATCTCAGAACAGCATCTGAAATTAGCATTTGCAAGGCTCACTTCAAGAGGAAATATTCCCTACTCTACTACTGATAATGAAAATTACAGTCAGTGGGAAAATGGATGTAGAAGCAAAAACAGACATAATTGAAAAGAGGCTTATATTCTACCACCCGAGAAAAAGTTAAGTACCAATTTGATTCAGCACTCAAGAGACTATTGAGTAGAATTTATTTTATTTATTTAGATTTACTCAAATCCTCTTCTATTTTCAGATGCCGAAAAAGATATTCAAAATACAAACAAAATTTTAAGTATCATAGGTTACAAGGGTATCATAATGTAACACAATCTGATGTCTTTAAACATGAATTTTCTTCTTAGTGTTAAGACCCTGTTTCAAACAGTAACAGCCTGTACTCAAATGCACCAAGTTTAAATCACCTCTTCTCTGAATAGCCTTAGAAAATAGAATTTTCATGGTCTGAAAAATGGTAGCTTTCGACTCTATGAAACCAAGAAGAAAAATAAATCTAATACTTCTAATGAAAACTGTCCTGCTCACAATATTTTATGTATGTCCTTGTAACACATGAGAAAATACATTGTAAGAGAGTTGAAACTCATTTGGTTTTTACAGAAAATAGCCCAACTCTTTCTAAAGCAGCAAACTGCAAAATGGCTAGACTTTAAAAAAGAAAAAAACAAAGCACAAACAGTAAGTCAAAATAAAGTGAGTTATGCAACTCGGTATTTTACTTGGCAAACATGTGAACATGAAAAATACCTGCACAGTCAGAGAACCAGAACAGCCCTTCTCATGACCTGCATCCAGCAGCACACAAAATTTAGTCCTGTACCTCAGAGAAGGTGAAGGTACAAATATCCACCTCTAGTTGTAACTCTTACATAAAAGCAGTTAGGGGACCTTTGCACAGTTGTCTTAGATTGGATGTTCTTAGGGGTATTCCATTCCTATCTGCTAGAGGTGTGGCAGTTATCTTCTGTTTATCAGGTAATTTTCTTTATCTCTTCCACAACCAATCCTCTCTCTGGGGAGACATCTGCTGTTAATAGGTGACATTGAGTGTCACTGCATGATGGATAAAATTACAGCATCCCATTGTGAGAAGCTCTGCCCAGGGGGAGGAGCCAAGCATTCCTACCTGGATATAATCTGAGAGTTGGAAGACCACAAGCAGCCTTTCCCACTGGATTCCCAGAGGCAGACCAGGCCTATCTACACCACCACTGGATCTTCAGAGGAAAACTACACCCTTCTACAGCATCCCTGCTTCAACAGACACACATCTGCCACTGCTGGAGAACTGCAGCCACCATTTCAATTGGACTGCTACCAACACCCTGACCAACAGTAGCCAGTTGCACTGGTGACATTCTATCACATAAATGTAATTTAAATTAAAGATTTCTTTTCCCTGTGAACTGAAACGAATTGACTAAAAAGCAGCCTTCAGCTGCCAAGGGAGGATGGGCTGCAATACACCCACTACTGGTTTTAATATCTTTACTATATCTAATATTCCTCTTTACAAAGTTTCCAGCAAAGTAAATGGTGAATCTCGCACACATCCTGATGCTCCCATAGCTGGAGAGAGAGAGAAATAGATGGAGCTGGCTCTGGCCATGGAGCAGTAAGATTTAGTGAATCAGAGATAAAGAAATAATCACAAGTATCTACTAAAAAGTGACAACTCTTCTGCCCAAGTTTGGTAACTTAGGGATGGTCTAAAGCATCTCACTTGCTAGACACAATGCCATATATGTTAAATAAATCCTATAATAATCTAGGAAATTATATTTCCAGGCTTTGAATGGCTGGGAATTCCAAGAAACTTTACTTT